GGGATATTACAGGGATATCCTAGTGATATCTTGGGGATATTCCTAGGATAAACTTGGTATATCGTTAAAATATTCTAGAAATATCGCTAAGATCTCCCTAGGATATCATTATGATTGAAATTTTGACTATTTGAGATAGCGATTTTTTGATGCAAATACGTTTCCCGTGATTGTCAATCATCTTTCAAATCTAGGCCTTAAAGTTGATAATTAGAGCATATATTTAAGCCAAAAATGCGATTTTCGACACTTTAAATTCGTTTTTTATGGGACTGACCGAATGAAAATTTTTTGTCCTAACACACGCACCGAAAGTACACCATTTCTTACCTGTGTAGCGGGAGAAAAGTTTGTCTTTTCCGACGAGCGGGAGGGAAAGTTACATTCCCTCCCGGTGACGTCACTGAGCGGGAGGGAGTACAGTTGAGCAAATGTTTTATAGTTAGCTCTTGAGTTGGTTTCAAGAGATTTTTTAAAGAAAAAGTAGAAAAAAGAATTCTTGTACACTGAGAGAAGTTTAACACAACATCTGCATTTTTTGAGGGACAGATATTGTACCACAATTATGTGCAGACGCAGTACTAAAATCGAACAGCAGCAGCGCCAATTGAGTACTGATTCTGACCTAACTTGTGGGACAAACGATTTAGTACAGTATCTGTCCACCAAAAAGCGCAGCTGCGATACAATTTAGAACCGATGTTGCTCGAAAGGTTAGGTACACTATCTGAACGTGTGTTTAGTACGAAATCTGTGTTTAACTTCTCTCAGTGTAGACAAGGTAAATCATTTTAGCTATCTTGGAAATACATTATAAATACATCCAAAAAATGTTTTCCATTTTTATTTAATTAATTTGTATATTAGGGTTGTTTTATGGATACCTTAGGGACATTTTTAGAACGACTCAAGGATATTCTAACCCATAAGATAATATAGACATACTGTGGATATCCTTAGGACGTCCTAAAGACATCCCTAATTATTCCAGGAATATCCTTGGGATATCCTAATAATATCCGGGGAAATGATTAGGATATCCCTGGGACGTCCTAGGGATATCCTTAGATATCCCTGGGATATCCCTAGGATATCCTAACCGCCGCTACTTTGGATATCCTTAAAGTATCCTTAGGATATCCCTGGGGTATCCCTAGGATATCCAAGGGATGTTTTTGGAATATCCTAGGATATCTGGTGCTGTGAGGGTAATTAAAAAATTATCTTCAACACAATACTTTTTTTAAATTTTCAAAAATTAAAATTTGAATGCGGGCGCCAGCTGAACCCCACCTGGGTTTCTCAGTTTTTGAATATTTTGAAATTCTATATAAGATTATATTTTTTTATATATAGACAAATCAAATAATAATATCTAAATCGGTTCATCGTTAAAACCCCAATTTAAAATCTTAGATTAAATCATACGCCAAGGGTTCGAGCCCAGTAGGGTTAAAATTTTAATTTAAATCTTCGAGTTTAATTTAAAACTTATAGGCTGTTCGTTCGTTTCAATATACAGAAACTTGACATATTTTAAATAGGTTGAATCAATGATATTTTCCAAAAAACTTTAGTTATACAAAAACTAATTAAATTAACCCTCATAACAAAAGGATATCCATATCAATGGTCGATATCCTAGAATAGTCCCCAGGATATCTTGGGATATCCCTAGGATATCCAAACCGCCGGTCTGTGGGACATCAACAGGATATTCACAGGATATGCCTAAGACATCCACAAAATATCTATTGGATATTATATCGCAGAATATCCATGGGATATCCTCAGGATATATTCTTAGGATATTCACGGGATATTGCTTCCTCATGGAGGAAGTATTGTTTTCGCGAAATTTTTCGAACTCATTTTTTTGACATATCTTTATGTTTTTTGACCTCAGGAATCCAAAAATGACATTTTTAGAAAATGTCATTCCGTATGTGTGTGTGTGTGTATATACATTACATTTTCATAAATATCTCAAATTCTATAAGAGCTTTAGGGCTGAATTTTTTTTTAAATTGTAGATCTCACTTGGGGACATAAAATGAGAAAACTTTGGGACAAATTAATACATATTAACTATATTTTTTTTGACTTTTAAAATTTTTGAAAAATCGTTTTTTGCCCATAACTTGAAACACATGTTTTGAAAGTTAGGATGTTTTTACTTAATTTTGTAGAGTTTTTTAAGACGCATTTTTTGAGCTATTGACGAACAATCTGCTATCATTTTATCCAAAGTTATTGACATTTTAAAAATCATAAAAAATCGTTTTTTGCTTATAACTTTAAAAAAATGTTATGACACCTACAGTTTTTTTAGTTTCATTTTGTAGAGATTTTCAAGACGCATCTTTTGACCTATTAACGAACATTTTACGATTACTTTATCCAAAGTTATTGACATTTTAAAAATAAATAATATTGATAAAAACCTGTTTGCATTTTTTGCTCAAAAATCTTTATGTATATGTAAAATCATTATAATTAGATTAGAAAGCTTTTTCTTGGTGATAAACTTTTTTTAATTTTTATGCAAAAATAAATATTTTGCGATCGTAAACTGATCGCAAAATATCTCCATGAGGAAGCAAAGTGTTCATGGAATGAACACAAAAATACATACTTCAACTTGGCAGCGGTTTTTAATATCTCAACATATATTTTTAAAGGTTAAAATTGTTAAGCTAATATAATGAATAATAATATAATAAAAACAAAAATCTTATGAGCTTCTAATTTATTTTAAATGAAGATTTTAAACGCATTTTTCAAAGTTTTTAAATAAACTCATGCACTTAATGTATAATTAATATTAAAAGTTATTCGTTATTTGCGGGGAAGAATTTATATTGTTTAAAGCCAATTTATTTTCTGACAATATTAAGCATATGAATAAAGGAATGAATCACGAATGAGAAAAAAATTAGTTAATAATTTTTCAAATTAAACAACTTTCTCGAAAAACAAGTTGCATTTTATTTTATTTATAAAAAAATTTAATTCACAGAATATTATCACTCGTAGTCTCATAATGACTTTAAAAACAGTATCCTGAGAATATCTTCTTGACATCCAGAAGATATACTGAGAATATCCTGAAAATATCTGTGGGATATCCTGACGATATCTATGAGATATCCTGATGATATCTGTGGGATATCCTGACGATATCTATGGAATATCTGGAGGACATTTATGAAAGTATATAGAGATGTCCAGAAGATATCTTGTGGATATCCTCAGATATCCATGGGATATCCAAATTGCCGATTTTTTGGATATCCTTAAGAGATCCTTTTGATATCCATAGGACATCCCTAGGATATCTGCGGGATATTATCAATATATCCCAAGATATCTTGTGTTATTAGGGAATGAGCAAATTAAACAAACACTTATTAATATAGATCTTTTGACACTTTTAAACAAAAAAGTAACAGAATTATATGACAAAGTTACTTTATAATTATATAATGGTTACATTACAATAACATCACAATGTGACATAAGAATATAACCTATTGCTTTATGTAAATATGACATAATGTGTTTGGTGGGTAGTTAAACCAACTAATAAAATAGTTATGCCAATCAATAAAAATAGTAATCACACGGAAAAAAATTTTACGACGAGAACGAGCTATTTGGGATTATAATTAATATGAAGAACGACACATCCAACGCAGTGAATAAGTTTGACCGTAATAGCCGAATGTTTAGCCAATTTCGCTAAATTGAATTTAGATTTAATCTTTCTGTTCAGTCATTTTGGGAATTTTATATCGCTCTTTCATTTTTGACTAAATGTTTAACTATCATGGCGAAAAAATTCTCAGATTGTACTTTTTTCCGTGCACAACTAATAAATTAGCAAGAGAATAGTTTATTAACTAAAAATGGTCTTATCAAAAATGGTAACCCTAACCAATTTTTTCTCTCAGTGTATTATTATTATTATTAATTTGATGCAAATAAAAAATGTCTACCCATTTGCAAGTTTATAGTAAAAATCTTATACTTAAAATCTGCTAAGTAAAATTTCTGAAAAATTTCAGAAACGCTATTTTCTTTTAACTATATCTATTTACTATTTTCTTAACCAATAGAGAGGGGAGATTTACTTAGGTATTACTCTTCTTGTAATAATAGTGTAATATTTTGTAATAATTCGTTATTACGTTGGCTTAATGCCCTCTAATACCTCTGCAATAGCCTGTAATATCTCTAATAAACAGTAATATTTAGTAATAAATGTAATAATAGCATAATAATATTTGATAATAAGTGTAATATTAGAGTAATAAGGTAATCAAGTGTACACTTTTTTATAAGCAGTAAATTCCTCATCGACATTTTTTTTTTATTCATTAATAATTCAATACTGTTTATTAAAATATACTGATTTTACTCAAATTTGATAACGAATTAAACAAATTTTAATGAAATGGATTTTCTACAATATATAAAAAAATTTCTACGTTTTTTTTTATCTAATAATTTGACCGAAATGCCCTTGTATAAATATTTCTACACACGTGCAAGAATTATTCGGCGTTTTAGTAGAATAAATTTTTTTTTCATTGAGAAAAACGAAATAAAAGTTAAATAATTGTTTTTAATAGTTTACTTTACTTTTTATATTTAATTAACTCAATATTAAAAAGTTTTTATAATCTTCTTTAGCAAATATTATTTAAAATAATTCAAATTAAATTTCCAATAAATAGTAAAGAAATCATTTTTCTATTTAATACTTCTGAATGAATTAGAATTATTAATTAATTAATTAATTAGATTAATAAATTATACTATATGTAAGAAAACAATACTTTTCTTACTTTCAGTTTCTAGATATTTAGAAGAACATGTTGAAGTAATTTAAATATCGCGGGAATTTCGTTCCAACCTTAAACTTATTTATAATTTCAAACAGAATGTAACAAAAAAATATGCAATAATCAATAAGTAATCTGCAAACCTTTACTCACCGGGGAATATGTCGAAGATCTCGGTTATTTTTAATATCACTACTTATGAACCAAATCTCTAAAAGCTTCTCGGCACCTTCAAAAAACTGCACATTTTCAATGTTATTATCTTTATTTGTAGCCGCCATCATTTGACAAAATAAAATACACGCGATAAGCGTTGAGCTTTAATAAATGTAATTTAAATTTAAATATGAAATAAAATTAACTATATTCTAAGTGTTGTATATGTGCTTTTTATTTTAACTAGTTAGATATGAATTGTTAAATGATAAATGTATGTCAGAAATTTGAAAAAAAACTGAAGGCAAAATCGACACTTGACTGCTAGAAGTTAGAAGTACAATCGTTTTTCCACAAACATGTTGTCACACACGATATACTGGTAAAATTTCAACCACGTCTACTCAACGATAGCTGTAATAACGCAAATGACTAGCGCGTGGCGCATCAGTACAGCGTCTCCATCACACAATCAGAGATATAATGCTACACATGCGCAACTCTTGAGCAAAACTCAGACGTCTTCGATAACATTTTATATACCTTCCTATATATATATATATATATATATCTACAAATAATAATTTCGTATTCATACATTCTTTTCGTTTTCTTTCTTTCATTTTGTCCTTCCGCAAATTGTTGTTAGATAAGCCAAAAATTGTAGAGTGTGTGAAATTGAAGATTTCTGTTCAAATTTCATTTCATAAATGCATACCAAAAATTATGTATATAGGCAATTAGTTTTTTAAAAAATATATTTTCGCGGTTTTTTTCTGGAATAGAATCCGTATTTAAAAACATTTTCCTTTATTTCAAATTTTAGATTTAATAATTTGTAAAATAACATATATACATTTAAAATTCAGAATATATCCATGCAGTTATTACAACCCTAATAACACAAGATATCTTGGGATATATTGATAATAAAAAATCGGCGGTTTGGTTATCACATGGATATCTGAGGATATCCACAAGATATCTTCTGGATATCTCTATAGACTTTCATAAATGTCCTCCAGATATTCCATAGATATCGTCAGGATATCCCACAGATATCATCAGGATATCTCATATATACCGTCAGGATATCCCACAGATATTTTCAGGATATTCTCAGTATATCTTCTGGATGTCAAGAAGATATTCTCAGGATACTGTTTTTAAAGTCATTATGAGACTACGAGTGATAATATTCTGTGAATTAAATTTTTTTATAAATAAAATAAAATGCAACTTGTTTTTCGAGAAAGTTGTTTAATTTGAAAAATTATTAACTAATTTTTTTCTCATTCGTGATTCATTCCTTTATTCATATGCTTAATATTGTCAGAAAATAAATTGGCTTTAAACAATATAAATTCTTCCCCGCAAATAACGAATAACTTTTAATATTAATTATACATTAAGTGCATGAGTTTATTTAAAAACTTTGAAAAATGCGTTTCAAATCTTCATTTAAAATAAATTAGAAGCTCATAAGATTTTTGTTTTTATTATATTATTATTCATTATATTAGCTTAACAATTTTAACCTTTAAAAATATATGTTGAGATATTAAATATCCCGTGAATATCCTAAGAATATCCCACGGACATCCTGAGGATATAATATCCTATAGATATTTTGTGGATGTCTTAGGGAAATCCTGTGGATATCCTAAGGATGTCCTGTTGATGTCCCACAGACCGGCGGTTTGGATATCCTAGGGATATCCTGGGGACCATTCTAGGATATCGACCATTGATATGGATATTCTATGGATATCCTTTTGTTAGAGGGTACATTTAAAGTTCAGAATATATCCATGCAGTTATTACAATTAATTATTAATTGCTTAAAACAAAGAACTTATTTAAAAATGATCAGAATTTAAATGATATATTTTAAAGTCAAATATTCGATACATAATGTTCTCTGCACTCCACTTCACGTGGATGGTTACTCATTTGTTTTGACTAAGAGTTTGTCGGCATACTAATCTAAAGTATGTCCCATTATAAACCCAAGCAACCAAGACTCTTCTTAACTAAATCTGAAATATACTTCTTCAATTTTGAAATTGTTTTTTGAATTCTAGATTTTTTCTTAATTTTTTATGTTTTTGTTCCTTTGTCATGTTAAAAAGCAAGAGTCAAAGATTTAATATTTTCGGAACCAATGTTTATTTCTATTTTCTTTCTATTTTTTTAAAAAAAAACTTTGAAATTTTTTCATGGTACACAAGAATTTTAAACTTAAATTTTTTAAAAAATCGAAAATTTTTTTTCGTGTATTTATATGTGGATTGCTAACTTTAAGGGGACTTTCTGGTTTAAAATTGACAAAAAAGACACTTAAAATTTTCATTGTAAGAAAATTATTAAAGAAATTGCAAAAATTCTTTTTAGATATTGTTGCACATTACGTAGAGAAAATTTAAAAAAAAATGTTTGAGTGTATTTAGTTCAATTTCTTAGCTGTAGGTGGCGTCCAGAAGGTTCCAAAAAGGTACCTTTTTTATGCACTTGATTCCGGACAACCAGTAATATATAAATTCTTACGGGAATCTCTTCGTAAAGGTTTATTCTGGACAATAAACCTAAACAAGTTGTAAATTCAGATGTTCATTACATTTTGCTTCCTCTTTACGATTAGCAAAAAAATTTGCTTCCTCGTGAAGAAAGCATTAACATTGAAATAAACATACATAAATAATATAATAATATAAACATTTGAGAAGACAACATTTTTCAGCTAAAATGTGAATTTTTTAACTTTTATTAATTCTTTAAATTTAAATCAAATATAAACTTTATATATACCAATCGATTTGTTTTAATGCAAGAAATAAAATTATTTCATATATACACTTGAATTTTAAAAAACACCAAATTTTATAACTAAAATGTGAATTTTTTATTTTTTAACTTTCATTAATTCTTTAAATTTAAATCAAATCTATACTTTATATATACCAATCGATTCGTCTTGATGTAAGAAATACGATTTTATTATATATCACCTTAAATTTTGCTATTTAAAAATTTTTTCGATTAAAAAAAAATTTTTGGAAAAGAGACGATAAAATTTTTTTTTTGGGATATTTTTAAAATTCTTTCGTCCATTTTGAGATATTAATGTGATAAATAAACCTACCAAATTTTACCTAAATCCATTAAAACCTGTTAAAGTTATAGTGTTCACAAAAAGGGGTCCAGACATACATACACGGAAAAACTTTGTGCATCACTTTCTGTCAAACTTGCCAAGAGATTTTAGTAAACTCGCGACCAAACTCGGAAAAAATGGAAAACTATCATTTTATATAAATGTTTTCTTTTTTATCAAAATTTAGTAGTCACGCTAAGAAATATTCGTTAACGCTGTAAGAAAAATTAAGATTAAGAAAAAATGAATGTCAAAAGTATATTCTTTATATTTGTAAGAACGACATTTTCATTGCGTCGTGTTTACAATTTAGTAGTCTCACGATGAAAACAGCACGCATACAAACAAGCGAAGCTTGTCCGTGTAGCGTCAGCAGTTGAATAGTTCCGGCATACATAGAAAAATGTCTACACAACGAACACTTTTAATAATCCTGTTTGCATAAAAAATTAATTCTGACATTTCCTAAAATTGACCTTATTAATAATATTAAATAATTTATTTTTTTGAAATTTTTTTATTGCACTTGAAATAAGTTTAAACATAATAAAAATTTTCTCGTAAGTGGAAACCCGGTAAGAAGCGAAGAATCGAAAAAAATTCAGAATCTGAATTCCTTTGAATGGGTGATTTTACGTTTTTATTCAATTCCTCGATGAAGCAAAAAAAAGTAGAAAAATCTATTCTTCTTAATTGACTTGGCCAAAATTTATACTCTAAATTATACATGTAACCTGACGCAGTCAATTGCAAGGCATAAAGATACCTCATTTAATCTACAAATTTTCTATTCCTCTAAATACGCTCCTGATGTCATGACACAGTCAATTAAAAGGAATAGACATATCCACTTCACTCTCCAAATTTCTTATTCCTTTCAATGCGCTTCAGAAATTTTGATACTGTCGATTGAAAGGAATAGATATTTAAAATTTACTCTCCAAACATTTAATTTTTCTCTATTCACTACCAAAAATTTGAAAATATTAAACTTTGCGCATTAAGAAGAATAAGAAGTCTGAATTCTTTTCTATTGACTTAATATGTACTGGGAATAGAAAAAAATAGAAAAAATGATTATTCATCTCTCAATCTTGGATTTTCCGACGAGTTGACTCTGAGACTCGAACCCTCGACCATCATATCTCTCAACCGCACTGGGAGCGCCTTAACGCGCTCGACCAGGGGAGGTTATAAAATTTTTTGAGAAAATGTCTTATAATGAACACATTAAACAGATACATATATTATTTTGTTAAGTCATCAAACAGCTTTTCAGATGTTCATTATTACAAAGAGTATATTATCGTATATATATTTTTATGAACATTAATGATATTAATTAATAATTTTGTCAATTTAAATAGTTTTAAATGATTAATTGTGTTAATAAATAAAAATTATATATTTTTTTTTTCTTAAGCTTAAGCTTATGGAAATATTTCCATATAATATAAATAAATAGTTCAGGTCTCATATATTGACTAATATTATTAAAATTCTATTTTACAGAATATTCAAGTATAAAAATAATTTCCCGGTAAGAGGCGAATAATTGAAAAGAACTCAGAGTTCCAATTCTTTTGAATGGGAGCATTTACGTTTTTATTCAATTCCTCGATGAAGCAAAAAAAAGTAGAAAAATCTATTCTTCTTAATTGACTTGGCCAAAATTTATACTCTAAATTATATACATATTATTCTTAACAACCTGACGCTGTCAATTGTAAAACATAGAAATGCCTCATTTATTCTCCACATTTTCTATTCTTCTGAATGCGGTCCAAAATGCGACATTTAAAATTTACTCTCCAAACATTAAATTTTTTTCTATTCGCTTCCAAAAGTTTGAAAATAAGAAACTTCGCGCATTAAGAAAAATAAGAAGCCTGAATTCTTTTCTATTGAGTTATCTCTACTGTGAATAGAAAAGAATTTATTTTTTATATATTTTGATGTTGAATGAGGAATTGAGTAAAAACGTAAATTCACCCATTCAGAAGAATTGAAAATGATCAACTAGTTAAATTAGTTAGTAATTAATTATTACTTATATTCTTTTAAAATCTTAAAATTTATATTCATTTTCTTTCGCTTCTTATAATATTTAAAAAAAATTGAAATGATTAGGAATTATTAATATACTCGCCAGTTTTTTCATTCCTTTCAATACACTTTTAGAAATCTGACGCAGTCGATTGCAAGAAATAGAAATATTTAATTCATATTACAAAATTCCCATTCCTCTGAATACGGTCCTAAAAACTTGACTCAGGCGATTGCGAGGCATAGAAATACTGAATTTA